TGTGGTTGAGTGTAATTCCATTATGGACGAATTTTGTTTTGATAAAGTCTCACAGTGTTATACAGTAATGTTTACTGATGACCACGTTTCGAGCACAATTTATTGCTCATAATCATATCAAGGTAATCACACGACTTCCTAAATTCATTTATATAGTTCCATTGTTTTTCACTTGATTTGATTGGTAGTAATATTTTCCATATTTCTGGTATTTGCATTGAGTCATTCCTATTGCATGTGTTGGGTGTAGATTCAATGAACAAGGATTCAGTAATCAGTCACCTCTCTCTCCACCTACCTAGATTACTTTTAGAATTTTAACCCTCTCCCACCCTATTGTGTGGTTGTTTGTTAATGCGTGAAATGCAATTGCTGAGCTTTTTTCTAAATTACTTATCTTCTCTGGGTCAACCATTCTGCCCTTAGCTAAATTCTTATGTTCCGACAATCTAACTACCTCCGACCTACTAGTCTGACCCAAGTAGTTTAACAAACCGAGCAATGGCACTAAGTAGCACAAAAAAAGATCTAAACGATGAAATAAAACAGATAGAAGAGGCGTTGGTGTTAAATAACTATCGTTTAAAATTCATTAGGAAGATTGAAAAAGGCCAAAAGAAAAAGAAAAAGAATTGTGAAACTAGTAATAATAACATAAATAAGAGAGAATACAAGTCATCTACAGTTATACCATATAAAGAGGGGACATATGAAACCCTACGTAGGATTCTAAATAAAGCAGGAATTAGGGTGGCATTTAAACCTGCAAACTCACTCAGGGACAAGCTCTGTAGGTTAAAGGACCCAGTGGACCCAATTAGACAAAATTATATAATTTACAAAATACTCTGCAATGACTGTGAGGTCAACTACATAGGTCAGACTAGTAGGTCGGGGGTAGTCAGATTGTCAAAACATAAGAATTTAGCCAAGGTAAGAATAGTTGACCCCGAAAAGATAAGTAATTTAGAAAAAAGCTCTGCGATTGCATTGCATACATTAACAAACAACCATACAATGGGGTGGGAGAGGGTTGAAATTCTAAAAAGTAATCTAGGTAGGTGGAGAGAGAGGTTGATAACTGAATCCTTGTTCATCGAATCTACACCCAACAAATGCAATAGGAATGATTCATCACTCATACCCGAAATATGGAAAATATTACTACCAATCAAATCAAGTGAAAAACAATGGAACTATATAAATGAATTTAGGAAGTCGTGTGATTACCTTGATATGATTATGAGCAGTAAATTGTGCTCAAAACATCATCAGTAAACATTACTGTATAACACTGTGAGACTTTATCAAAACAAAATTTACTTCAAGCGAGAGCTTTGAAGTTCCAGAGGTAGTTGCGTTTAATTTTACGGGATAGGGTTTATTTGCCTGATGTTCAACCTTTCCTCTTTACTGGTCTTATTACGGACTTAGCGAGGATTGGGAGTGTGTCGGCCAGGGGTCGAACCTCGGACCACATGTGTTGTTGGCGAGCATTCTATTGCTGTACCAACAACGCACATGTTACTTGTAGTTCCTGTTAATTATTCCTTGTCATTGAGAAAAAAGTATGTTCATATCTTTATAAAATGACCTGACACTATCATCCTTGTACACATTTTTCATCCTGGTTTTTTTCGAAGCCATAGTCCCTAGCACATGCAGGCTGTAATATCTAACAGTATATTATTGTGGAAAATACGGCTGATAGTGAAAGGTGTGATCTACCCAATTGAAAAGACATAGGATTATGAGTGAAGTAGAATTTGGACACATTTAATCTAATGCTATTTGAAATATCCTGACAACATACTTCAATACGCTAATAATGGATCGTGGAAACACTCAATCGCCGCTAACACTGATCAGCTGAGTCCAATGTGTAGATCAGGGTAACCTCGACATTAAGGCCTTATTTATTTATTCATTCAGTCGACCAAACAAGACGTGTTGAAACGGTAGAAGACGAATGACTTGGAAAGGAAATGTTTATTAGGAAATTGGTATCTCTATATAGCCGAATTATGTATAACCTATCTTCAACGCACCATTTGGACAGACCTTTGTGTTGTGGTACTTCTGCTCTTCCTTCATATTGTGTTTCTCTGTGTTCCTTTCATATCTGCCATATATCTCCACAACACTATATCACTTGCTTTCTATGAGCTCAAATATATCTTTCTGATATTTGATTTTTTGAGCGTCTCTTTATATACTACTGATAAATCTTATCAGTAGCACTCGCCACAGTTTGGCTGGGTTATTCAAAAAGGGAGAAGTTCTCTAAATTCTAGGTTCAGCAACACATACAGCTAATCTACAAATTCTTTAGTTTTGATTAAAGTACGTTCAAAATTTAAAAAGAATTTAGGAGTTCTACTCAAAATACATGGTGTCTTAGTGGTTCACTGGTAGAAGGCTCGCCAACCATTCACGTGGATCACGATCTGATTCCTAGCTGACATACTCCTAAACTTCACCTAGCCAGCAGTAAGACAGGGAAGTAGAGAAGAGTGGACGTGAGGCTAGTAACCGTACCTTGTAAAAAAAATGCCTCTGAGACTTCAAAGTCCTAAGACTTGAAGCCCTCCTTATTTTCCATTAGGAATACAAATGCATAAAATATAATAAGCATACATACAATAACGAAATTATGTCTGATGGATTGCTGAATAAAAAGAATGGAAGTTCAGAAGTGTACTTCCGATAATAGGAAACTGACATATAAAAATATTAAAAAACAAGAGACAACACTTTTTACTTGTCAAATAATCTACCTTGATATCTCAATTTACCTTATCCATTCAGAATTCTAAAGTAGTGATCATAAGGTTTATTTGGCTTGCTGTTTTCTCCTCAAATTCCTGGGGAATTTGTTTAATAAAGCGCTTATATACGTTCTCATTTTTTTTCTTTTTTCAGAAGCGCTCACTATTGTATATTCATTCACATTTTTCTTAAAATAACTAGTTAATGCGATTAGTATTGATTTCCAGTAAACAATTTATGTACTATCTATGGGAGGTATTTGAGGAAAACCACTTCGTTCACTTGTTTAGGCAGAATCGTTTCAAATACAAGCAGTCTATGCTGATGAGGATGTTGAGTGTAGCGTTGGAAAAGCAAGACAAACCTTGATTATTCTGGAAAAAAATCAGTGTGAAAATCTGCTGCATTCAGCATAAAGAAAAACAGCCGAATTTTCAATCCATGAGCCAATCAAGGAACTACTGCCCGACAAATATGCAGATGGATCAGACATGCGCTGAGGAAACTGTTGAATGACACCGCATGTCAGGCAGATCCTCCAGCAGGAACTAAATGGGAGATAAAGAGTTGGGTGTTGGTCCTAGAGTAGCATGGTGGATATCGTGTGAGCAGTAGGTATGAGCTTATGGACAATTATGGAGTCAGTTAAATACGGGAGGGGAGGGGAGGGAAAAATCCGGATGAAATGGAGACATATTTTTGCAGCCCTATGTTGTACTCGAGATCCAAGGGAGTAACAATAATAATAATACTTATGTACTTTTGTGTAATTTGATGAACGACTGATTTTCATGCTCAACATTTAGTTCATGTATGATCCCTATCCAGGCATTAATGAAAACAAAACACATAAATCAGCGAAGAGTCTCTTTTCGGCGAATTCATTCACACTTAGCTGTACAATCGCATTAAGGAAAACATTAAGGAAAGGGGTATGTGTTCAATTGACATAGAATCTTTATTCACCAATGTTCCCCTTCATGAAACTGTTGATTTCATCTGCGATTACATCACAAGCAATGGGATAAACTTACCTATTCCTGTAACTTACATCAAAGACATTATCTTAATGTGTACAGAAAATATTAGATTCACCTTCCAAGAAAAGGCATACAAACAAATCGATGGTGTTGCGATGAGGAGCCCTCTGGGGCCCTTGTTAGCAGATATATTCATGTCGAAATTAGAGAAACAAATGCAAGGTATGCTTGGAGAATTTATGCTGTATAAACGTTATGTAGATGATACTCTTATTATCGGTAATAATAGTGAATCTACTGAAAACTTTATTACTCTATTTAATCATATTCATCCAAATATTCGAGTGACTTCCGAACTAGAATCGAATAACAAACTCGGTTTCCTGGATATTACTATGACTAGGAGAGATGATGGTACGATTCAGTGATCTATTTTTCGTAAATATATGTTTTTTTTGTATGTATCTGTACATTAAGTTTGTCAAGCAAAAATACAATTGGTTATAGTTATTTTAACTAAACAGCTGAAGATTGGTAATTGCAGTTACGTAATACAAAATCAGTCAAGAAAATTAGGTGTTATTGAAATTAGGGTAGTAACAAAGGTGATGAGTTGTCACAAACAGTTGTTAAAAAAGAAGTTATGTAGTAGTATGACTAGTTTGATGAGTGAGTTTTACTCAGGATGCACATAGGAACGAAGTGGAGAATACGAAATTACGTAAGAGTTCTAAATGAATACAAGAATTATAAGCAATTAAAGAACAGGCAAAGAAACAAAATTAAGTCATCAAAATCAAAAAAATAAAAAACAAAATATATGTGCATTCTGAGTAAAACTCACTAATCAAACTAGTCATACTACTACATAACTTCTTTTTTAACAACTGTTTGTGACAACTCATCACCTTTGTTACTACCCTAATTTCAATAGCACCTAATTTTCTTGACTGATTTTGTATTATGTAACTCCAATTTACCAATCCTCACCTGTGTGGTTAGAATAACTATAACCAATTGTCACTTTGTTTGGCAAACATAATGTACACATACATACAAAATAACCCGTATATATATTTCCGATTGTACAGCTAAGTGTCAATGAATTCGCCGAAAAGAGACTGTTCGCTGATCTACGTGTTTTGTTTTCAACATTTAGTGTCAACAAGTCGTCTCAGTGTTGATAATATTTTTTAAATAGATAATGAAAAAAACACGTATGACAAATAATCATTCCGAAACACTGCTTACCATTATTATTATTATTTCGCATTGAAAGAGTTTGAGACAGTTGGGCGAGTAAAGAATCCGCATGAACAGGGCAAATTAATCCTAATAGTTTTAAAAAGATAGAAAGAAAAAGAATAAATGAATAAGTATCAAAGCTTATGTGAATTTAGTTGTTTTTTTTAAGTATGTATTTTGTAGCAGTAGAATTTTGAGCATTCAAAATAAATTCCCCATAGTAACAATCTTTACTTATCGAATAGAGCATAGAATGGCAGTCGAACCTCTTCTTCAACTTCATCAACTTTGAATAGGCCTACGACACCAAGGTGATTTGGAAGCTGTTTCAACACTGTGAAGTGTAGTGCCACAGACCTTTATCAGCTTCATGCAACAGCTGTATAACAGTGCTATACATGTCAAGTGTTAACTCACACCGGAAAACTCAATTAGACTGTAAGAATGGAGTACGTACACGACTATAAGGATATAATACTCTAACACAGTGCACAAGTTCTATTCTTATATCAATGATACATATGGTCTTCCTACAAGGAGGCTTATCAACAAACGCACACGGCTCTGTCAAACAGAAGCAAGATTCATAAACCATCGAATTTTCAACAGTCGATGTTTAAAAAATCATATAATTCCTAAATATTTACGCCTAAGTACTCCAATTACTTCAAGAAAAATAACATAAACAGCCGAACATATCAGATGATTATATCTAAGAAAAGAACTATATCGAATTATTGTGAAACTAAGTAATATACGGAATGAAATTGAAAAACTCAAAGAGAAACTCAGATGTATGGCCAATGACAAAGATTATGAAGTTGTTGTTGAAACATCCAAAAAAGCTAGAGAATCAGCATTAGGAAAATCAAAACCACACAAATAAAAATAAATTCAACAAACTAATGGAAAAAAGAGCACAATAAATGAAGAATTTGATAACAACATTTAGTCCTCTTTTGACAGGACAAAATGGATGATCAACCTCTCATCACGGGAACTAAGTAAGCTCTAGTGAGATAAAAGTACTCGAGAAAGGACTGAATTTCAACGTAGCAGCTGGTAAATTAAAACCAGAGGATGTCATTCCTAACATAGAAGTAGTACTAAGTTCAAAAGATAAAACTACAGCAGAAGAGATTAGAGTACAATGTGCATTAACCCTGAAAAATCAAAAGAAAGCAAAATCAAACTTAACGAAATCGGAAAGACTAGCTCTAACTAGTCTAAAACAGGATAAAAACATCTTCAGCATAAAAGCTGATAAAGGAAACCCTACAGTAGTTTTGGATAAATCAGATTATATCGAGAAAGTCACTGAACATATTGTGACGGGTCCATATGGGGAAATTAAGAAGCCTGTAGATACTATAATGAATAAGGTTAAAAAAATCTACAGCGGATTTAATACGCAGAATGAAGCCGTCACTGGGTGAGTCTAAGTGGTTTAATTTAATGCTTGAAAATAATAATGCTAGTAGATTATATGGCACTATTAAAATACATAAGCCAGGTTACCCCATACTACCAATAGCAGATTTCAGGAATACCCCTACTTTTGAATTATCAAAACACTTATTTTTAATATTATGTTTCATTAGAAATCGTTCAAACTCTAGGCTACCTAATTCATGAGATGAAAAAGAAACTAAACGACATTCAACTAGAGAATAATTAAACATTGGTTAGTTTTGATATAACTAGACTTTACACTAATATACCAATCAATATGGCCTTATAAGCGGTTAAAAGAGAATTAACTTCTCATCCCGAAACTTAGTCATAGGGTGAAGCTGCCCACTGAGGAAATTATTTTAGTTATGCCTCACATCTACTGTCTTTAAATTTCAAGGCAAAATATATGGACGAACAGAAGATGTAGCAACGGGATCACCAATATCCCCTATCGTAGCAGATATCTTTATGGACAGCTGGGAAAATATTGCTCTTAAGTACACGGCCGTCTACTATCACCAATGATATTCTTGACTATGGTGGACTTGATTATGTGACAGACCGTGGAGAATACGAAGACAGGCATACGTTGGACTGACAAGATGAGTCTAGAAGATCTGAACTTCGACGACGATTTGTGTCTAGTGTCACAGAAACTCGATTATTTTGCCAGAGCTTTCCACGTCAATTCAGACTTTCTATTCAGGGCTGTTATACAGTGGAGTAATTTCGGAATCATTCTATCACATGACTTATACTTTTGCTATTTTCTTACAATTTTCTATGCGGTGCTTCACAAATGAAACGTGGCAGATCAAACTACCAGCTAGGAGATTCGCAGAGAAACGAAACTATCAGAATAATGTTTAACCTATGTGTCAAAGTTTTTTACTGAGTATCTCTTACTGTTGTCTTTATTCTTTTCGAAAGCTAAAAGCTATCGCCGGTGAAGTTTGTTTCGTTAAGCATAATTTAGCTCTCACTAATGGAAAATCGGGCTGTCACCTGAACAGAGACTGAAAATCGGAGTCTAATAACCCCAGTCAACGGGAAATTCACGGCAACTATTTCAATAAATAACTAAATTTTCTAGTGTTCAAAAGTAAAGATTCGATTAGTTTCAAGTTACATCATGGATTGGTATCAGTTAAATGACTAGTGAAAACCATCAGAGAGTACTGGAAAGCTGTATCGTCCAAGTATGGTACCCATCTGCGGTACGCACTTATCACCCCCGCAGCGATCGCATCTAAGGTCTCCAGGTTACAAGGTGACCTCGTTATCCATTCAGTCACTAGGATGGAATGCAATGGTCAGCCTATGAATTCGAACTTGTGACGATTTATGCTATATAAGGCCACCGGCAACTAGTAGCGTCGGAGAGTATTTTTCTTTCCACCCAATTTGATAGACCCCACTGGTCATGTGGAACCAATAGAATCTCTGGAAACCAACACTAAAACATTTATGCAGTGCCTATTAGTGACTGACTGTAGGAATACGTTGCCTGGACTTCTGGTAAGAAGTTGGGACCAGTGGGGTATAAGGAAGAATACTCACTGACGACACTGACTAGAGTTGGCTCTGTTAGCAGAGGTTAGAATTCATTGGCCATTAGACCACATCCGAGTAGCTGAATGGTCAACGAGCTCACCATGTAATGTGAAGGCCCTAGGTTGAATCAGAGACAGTTGCATACTACTGAAGAGTCTCAAGCAAGGATGAGACGGCTGTCCTATGCTCCCTGCTTTTCAATGGTTCCATGACTGATATCAATCCTTGATCTAATGTGAAGCAACTGAATCATGATGGCCTATTTTCTCAGCACAGGCTAGAACTTCTTGTAACACATTCTAAGTTGAATAAAGTTTTGGTAGCTCAGGAATCCAATAATTTCTATGAAAGTCAGTATAAAATATTTCGATCTATGTAAAAAAAGTGGTGCTTATAGTTAACTGGGATAGTCTCTAAACATGATATATCAATCAGTTGTGTATGGTTTGTGTCTCATTATACTTCCAATTTTTGTGCTGGCGTATTGGTGTGTCTAGTAGAGAACATACATCGGTGTATATAAGGAAGCATAGTGAGTTTTCACACTATATTCCATATTTTTGAAATACTTGATTAGGTTTTTTAACTTCTCATGCAGTTACAAAAACCGAACGTGCAATCGGAGAGACTGAGTGACGCAGGTTGATGAAAATCTCCGGGAAGTCAGTCAACCGATGTACTTTTTTTTGATGACAGCATAAAGGTGTTAGAAGATGGGAAGGCTGCTCAGATTATCAAAGAAATGAAAAGATACGGTATAGAAATGTTAGGAATCTGTGAGAGTAGATGGAATGAAAGTGGACTCTCAAGACTGTCAGCTGGAGCAACAGTAATCTACTCAGGTGTTGGGTAAGGAGAATAAGTCAGCTGATAGGTTTGTGAAGCTGTGTAAAATGAGGAGGTTAGACCACGTGTCATGAATGACAAGCCATCACTTTCCTTGCTGACTAGTATCAGATGCTAGTGGTAGTCAAATTAAAACCTGATATCAGTCCATTAAGACGTTGAGTGTTGATTTCAGCCACCTAGAAAGGTGTATTCTACCTAGCTGGGGTCATCGAAACTCCAGGAACTAACGGCTTGATTACCACTTGGATCAAAGTCATTCTCAATGAGATAGGTGAATTCAGTATGTGTGTTACATAGAGTGTCACAACTTGAACTGCTGAGATTTGGTGTCAAGTGCTACACTGAAAATTCTGTTAGCCAGTCAAAACACTTGAACGCATGAACTAATCTACAAAGCAGACTGACTAACTAGATAACTTTGACTCATTTTAAATGTTCACAATTTAAAGACGATTAGGTTTTGAAATTTATCTCTATAAATGCATATTAAACTTATATACTAACTTACTTGACAATAAGTTAGGCGGGAATAATTGCAGCAGAACATTCTGATTAAACTGAGGTGTATCCACCTGACCAGTAGTATTAGAAAGAGATGATTCTGGAGAATTTGAATTATTACGGGTTGCTGTTTGTGATAGCAGACTGACTAGATCATTTTTCGATTGCGGCACAGATGCTGTATTTAGCTGTACATCAATTTGACCAGAAGAATCTGCGTAGCTTTTATGCGCTGCCAGTAATGTAGCATATTGAATTTGTTCCGTATTTTGAATAGATGACTCAGTATACAGGCTACGTCGCATGGCTTGATTCATCATAGCTGTTAGTGCAACACTAGGCAAAGGGTGTAGATCTACACTACCGAAGCGTTTTTCACGCGCCTCAGTCTCTTCAGTTGACGATGAAGCACTACTACTACATCGTGTACCACGACTAAGTCCACCTGAACCACCTAATCTAGGCTTACCACTACTCCCACTGCCACTGCCACTTCCACTGCCTTGTTTACTTCCACTGCTTTGACTTCCTCCACTTGTACCGCCTGTTGCTCCACTTCCAGTGCTACTGCTAGTTCGACTATCCTGTGTTGGTGGAAGATGATGACGGTTAATGTGTGGGGGTTGTTGTTGTTGCTGTTGCTGCTGTTTATCACTTTCCATGGATGAAGAACATGTGGGTTTATCACTTGTAGCATGTTCTGTTTCATAACGATTTGTTCCCACTGAATGACTGTCGTGACCATGCTGTTCTGGAGTCTTCCAGCTACTGCTATATTCCTTTTCACTAGTGCTAGGTTGTCTAAATTTAAATTAAATAGAGGAACACCATAAATAGTCATATGCTACAGAGATGTTGTAAAGTCCATACATAGTAAGGTAGTAACCATAGAAAATGAGGGTTTGAAGGCAAGCCAAAGCAGCGGTATTAGTGGATTCACTGGTTTATGCGTATGCCCATTTCTGATTATCTGAGCCGAATTCATACAGCTTTTGCTACTTGAAGACTTTAGGACAGACAAAACAACAGATAATGGAAACCGAATAATTCACTACAGTTGTCTTAATAAGGACAGCCAATATCCAGCATTCGTTTAGTTGTGATGGCAACTGTTCCAAAATCACAAAATACTAGGCACAGCCGGCTTCATTAGACCTAGAGAGACATATCAAGAAACATCCAGCACTATTTTTCCTTTTTAGAAGTTTTGTATTACAATTTGGCCAGAGAGAAACAGTCACTTCTATTTACACACTCTGAGACTTTTGTGTTTGCAACCGACTTGTGTGTGTCACTTTATTTTTCAAGAGTTAGTCGGTAAAGATTTGATTTGTTTCAAATTTCATCACGGTTTGATGTCAGTCAGACAACTATTGATAACTACTAGGGAGTGCTAGACAGCCGTTTCGTCCTAACCCGGGACTCTTCACAATACACACCCACTGCAACTCACTGAAATCAAGAATTGAAATTCCGGGGTCACAGGATCAGATCCAAACAGCTGAATGGTCAACGAGCTTTTGTTGTGACCAGAAGGTCCTGGGTTCAAACCCTAGAGAATGCATACTTCTGGAAAGACCCAAACTAGGCTGAAACGGGTGTCATGGATTTACTGGCCCAAAAAAGTAGTTTCTCATTCATAACTGAGAAATTTTTTTGTCTTGTTTTTGTGTGAGAATGCCTTCCAATGAATTTTAGCTAAACAGAAACTTTCAACTAATGTGTTGTCTAAAGGTCCTATTTTATCATTAAAACGTATTGTTCTCAATTTTTAACCGGAAGTTTTAAACAGCAATTATTTCTTAGAAAGGAAATACAGCTAAGAAGTGTTAATATCACATTACTGCATAAGGGCAAGTGGGAAACATCATATTTATTTCCGAAGCATACATGAAGAATATTACTGAAACGCCTCAAAGACAGAGAGTAATATTGTATAGTAACATTGAAACTTGATGCACTAGGTCCACAATTTCGAAGAGCTTAGACCAAATGAAATTTGCTACTTTGTTACATTTCAGAAAATTGCATTCTGATAATGTGACTTGTGATGTGACTACTTAGCACTGAGTTTTTTCGCGAATAGCTTGGTATATGACAGATGAATTCAGAGACTGACTTATGGCAGAGATGAATCACAACCAACCCTATATATCTTTCAGTTTTTGAAGGAGTTTGTTTTACCGTAAGTTACTGGACTTTATAGATGTTGGATCAGAATTATTCTTTTAGTATTTGAATGTTTGTGACGCATTGATTGGACACCAGGTAGTAACTAATGTCAGACTTTTAGTCCTTCGTTTTTGGTGCAGACTAAGTTCTATTAGAATGCAATTTGCAGACCAGACGTTTCATACTAGTTACTGCCTAGTGTCCAATCGAAGAATTCAATATGGTCCAACAGGAGGTGAATCACGAAACCGAATAGCTCAGTGGTAACATCTCCTATTGCAGCACCAAGTGACCCGGGTTCGAATCTCAGAATGAGCATAAGACCCTTCAAGATAGCAGATACGCCTTGCTGACTGGAAAGTGCCGACAAGCACGAAACCTGGGTATGGGGAAGGCTTCCTGCTAACTGCCTTCTAATAACAATAATTGTGAACTCGAAAGTACTGCAAACAGATAAAAATTTGAAAATATATATGTATATTCCACATTCTTCAACGCTTACACATGATTCTAAGAAAACGTATTGAACATACACAAAGGTAATTTCATCCTGTTCCATCTGGCGAAGCAGTTGAGGATGTCTTCTTTGCTGTGGCCGTTCACTTTTATTCTCGCTATTCTCAGTCATGTTTGTCAGCAGCTCTCACAGTATTCGCTTCTGGTTCAAGTTGGCCTCTGAATAAAAGGTTGGTTGATAAAAGAAATTATATCGCAAACAGAATATTAATTGCAGTACGAGTTCAAATTCAAACTATGAAAGGGTTAACATAACTTCACAGAATCCAGATGGTCAGGTACACAATAAGTTGAGTAATATACACCATGCAGGCGTTTCTACTGAGCAGTAATTCACTATTTATACTTCTTTGTTCTCTGACCCATACAACATGAGATCTGTTTATCGCTCTAGAAGACCTGAGACATAATACTGTTATTACCAATAAACTATTTATGCTTGCCAGGAATAAGGTAATGATACTTACCATCACTTTTGCTATAATATACGTGACTGTCGTGGAATGAATCATGCGGGAGATTGTGGGGAACAAGAAGAGAGGCATGCATTGGACTGATAAGAAAATTCTAGATTATCTGGACTTCGTGTATGACTGATGTCTAATTTCACAAAAACTAGAAAGTTTGCAAGTGAAAACCAGCAAGTTGACAGAAGAAGCAGAGAAGACGGAACTTTAAGTAAACATAGACAAGACTAAGGTGACGAGGATATCCAACAACAAGCACCAATCATCATCACTGAGAGAAATCTAAAGAAATTGAACTACCTTACTTACCTCAGAAACACCTTTTCAACTACAGATAAGGATGTCAAATCCAACGAGTCGGGATTGAAAAGATAAAACAGACCTTTGTTCATCTAAAATCAGTACTGAAATGTGCTGGACTCAGCATAAGGAGCCAGAATTGGATTTTTAAAACTACAGTCAGCTGAGTGCTTCTCTACAGTTTAGAGACGCAGTGCGCATATCACGAAAAGAATTTCCAACAGACTAGTGCGGACTTTCATCAGTATTCGACTTCGTACGATACTGAAAATTTGGTGGCCAGAAGGATTAGTAACAAGGCACTATGGTGAGGGCCAAACCAAGAACCTCCTATTCGACAAACATGGGGAAGAAAAGGGAGATGGATTGGACACACTCTGAGGAGGTCTTGAGTGAAATCACTCGGCAGGCAGATTCTTGAGTAGAACCCAAATACGAAGTGAAGGGTAGGGTATCTGAGATGGATATGTAGGAGAACATATAAAGAAGAGATGAAAGCTAATGGGCTATTATGGAGCCAGGTAAAGGGGACTGCAGAGGACAAGAGAAATAGAGATATGCTGCTAAATCTACATGTTCAACTCGGGTCCCAAGGGTCGTTCATTAAGAGACCGACTAGTGTTAGCTTAATAGCGCAAAATATGACACAGTTAACGTTTAAGAAATTCATAAGTTTCTTCTCAGTCGCATCCAACATGTTCCCCTTTGTTCTACATTATCTGTTTAATTTACAGTTTAACATAGCTTTAGAGAATTTTTATTTTCACTCTATTGAAGTGTAGAGACTCAAAGTAACGCACGTTTAATCAGCTTCATTTTACAATGAGAAACGAGCAAAAAACTACATATATATAATTTGGGACTTAGTTAATGGTTATACAAGGATTAGGTGATTAAGGTTAGTAATCTAGAACCACAACAAATGCTTCTCATGCCGACCATTCTAAAATGCAAATAGCTGGTTTTCACTCGCGTCTTGCCAGCACAGCACATAAAGCTGTATTCCCATTTACGAAACCACAGTCATTTCTGTCGGCTGCAAGCCTATATTATAAGGCATGACATTCAACGATAAATAAATGTATATATTGACAGGCAGTCATTTTGCCCTGCATACTTTCCCTATTTTTATTACTGAACAAAACGTGGTTCAAACTCGAGTAAGAAAGATATCTTTGGACACATGGGTAATATGAAACTCAAATTCCGAAAACACTGGAACGGAAGAATAAATTCATAAACTAGTATCCTCAAGCATCTTCAGTGTTTAACATCAAATGCTAGCCACTATTTTAATGGACGACATTTGTATCCACATAATTAACTTGATTTCCCCATATAATAATGTTGAAAAACATTTCTGAGCTTGTAATAGATAAAACTATGCCCTAGTCAGTGGCCAAATGTGAACACTTCTTTAAAAAATTGTAGTACTTTGATAACAGTTACTTACCTGCTGCGAATTCGTTACATATTCCAGGAATACATCACTAATTTTCGCGAAACTGGTGCCGAATCTCCTAATTTTCGGTCGGTAGGGAAAATCCCATTCTTCTTAAAGTGTCACAGATGTTACTTTAAGAAAATGAAAGTTCATGGTGACCTTTAAATGGCTAGTGAGCGCAAACAAATTACGAAACGCCACGATTAAGAAAAGCCCGCGATAAAAGTTCATCCAATTTTCGATATCCAATAACGTCTTTGCGAGCTTATGTAAACCAATTTAATTTCTTTGTGCTCACTTCGTGGTTGTGAGGTAAAGGTTCCTGGTCTTCGGCAAGCTTCTGAGTAGTTTGTCCCACTACTTGACTGTAGTAGCTTTGGTTGACTCCAAAAGGAATTCTGCAGGGATTAAATATATGTAGGTTGTAGTATGCGGTGTGTTCAGACAGTGTTGCTACTGTGAATTGAGTTGATCGTGTGACCAGTAAGTCATCCAGTGTCGTCGACAGAAGAGAAGAGACAATTATAATAAAAGATATGTTTCTTGTCTGTTATGCAGACTAAAAGGCAAGAAAAGAAATAGATAAAACATAAAATCAGAGAACTAATGATATTCGAAACTGATATATGTACACATATATGTGTATATATCAACGATAATAATAAAAGTATAAGGAACGTAATATTTGGAGTAGTCGGAAGAGTAAGATAAGAGAGAATGTGAAGAAGTAAGACTATGATTTTTGATGTCTACCCATTAATAGTGTATGAGATTTTAAGAGGATGGGCCGTTTGGACGTAGTGCTTGTGTCGTTGCATAACTGTCCAGCCCCCGACTAAAGCTGTCCATGGACAGTGCAGTGGCCACATCTTCCCGCAGACAGTTTCAGAGACAGTAAACTCGTAGCGAAAAGAAATAGATGGGCACTCAAGTCTCTACCCTCTGATAATCGGTCCTTTGTGGATTCTTTCGGGAATCCCATACGTACTTAATGGTAAAACACCCTTGTTTGAGTGATTCTTGTAATTCGCAGTCTTAAAGGCAGTAATTCAGTCCCCCCTAAGCTGACGGTAGCTAATTGTGAAAAGACTTAATCTCTTTAACCCTTCATCAAACGGTTTGTTTTGGAGATCCATCACCATTTTGTCACCAGTCTTTGGACTCTTTCCCAAAGTTCCGCGTCTCTTCTAAGCAGTGGGGAACAGTGATACTGTGAGCTTCGGGGTGTGTTCTCACGCATGTTTTGTACAACCTTGGAAAGAGCTCAGGAGTGAGTGCACCTAACAGTTTATGTGTAAAGTGTATGACCATATATGTCCTCACTACATCGATTGTATAATTCACTCTCGTGTCCATTTTTCCGTTAGAATTGGACCTATGTTAGTCTCTGACGTTGTGCAGGACAAGTTTTCGTTGCACAGGGTGTAACTTGCATTCTACAGCCTACAGGCGCGTGTCTGCACTACTCGGCACTGTTCCAGGACGAAAATCATATCGTCTTCCAGAAGTTTTAGGTCTCCATGCAGATTATCTGAGTCTTCCGAACACCTGATTGTTCTCCGAACATTTAGTGAAGAGTCGGCCAGCTTAACTGACATAGTAGATCATTGACAAAAATATTTTTTTTAAATCAGTTGCCCTAGGATAGGGCCCTGTGATTCTCCTGATGGCTCATTGTGCCAAGGTGACAGGATACGTGTGACCTTAGTGCAGAATTTACTTTCATCTAGACAATTTGTCAACGACGAAAGGAGCGGTTCACCTATACCTGCCTGACTTATTTTGTGTAGGAGATGGTCATGGTGAACTAAGTCGAGTGTCTTCTCAAAGTCTGGGAAGATCACATTTACAGGAACATTCATATCCCAGCATGATGTTCAGTAGTTCCAAGTTGATAGTAGGTCTGTTTCACAGGATCTGCTTTCCTTAAAACCATGTTGTGCTTTGTGGACTCTATTAGTCCTATCGAAGTTCTCCCTGATGTGATGATCAATTACACTTTCCAGTACTTTAGGTACCACTGGGAGCAGAGCTACTGATCTATAAGTGGTGGCATTTCTCCTATCCCGACCCTTGAAAATCGGAGAAAGGATGGCTCTTTCCCACTCCCTTGACGGTAGTCACAAACTGGGGACTTTCCAGGTGAGAGTCTCTGTAACTTTCAGAGACGCCTCACTGTAAGCGCTTACGGAGAACAAGATCAAACACTTTGACTGCGTGGTCACTACTCCCTAGTGAGCTTATGATCTGGGCATTTTTTACAAGTAGAAGGTCACTAGCTAGAAAATAATCCCCTTTCGGTAACTTTTCACTGGGGTCCCACTTAAGGCTGAAATTATCCCGCATGTTCAAGGTCATTGCTGTGTGAGACGCTCAAAGGTCATTTTCGTCCATGTTAGTCGGCCAGGTTGGGTTGCAGTTCTGTAGCCGTTCGTTTACACATTGGGTTTTACGTTTATTCTGCAGTTATTCACAACTAATCATGATGCATATTGTTCAAAAATGTTACTTTTCAACTCATTTTTGTTTCTGTTGCTGTTAAAATTAGTTATTTCGTTGGTTTCGAAAGTTTTTACCACCACGTCAATGAATTCATTTCATTATAATTGTTTCATACCTTGCATTCATGCGTGATTTCAGTGTTTTAGTCTTTTTTCAGCTATTAATGAAATAGTGCTGTGTAGAAGTTTTGGAAAATATGCATGTGAACATGTTTACCTGACAAAAGCTGTTGATTTTAGTTCATTTGCTGGTTGCCCTTATTGTTTATGGCATGTCTTTCACACTCATGTTAACAACATGCAGCAATATACGAGTCAGTCTGGTGAGGAGAATACGATCAGGGTTGATACGGGCAATTTTTCGAGGAGCATATTAAACCTGGAGATTTCAGAACGTGGTTTGAAGTTGAAAAAGCTTTGAAGGTTTTCGAGAAGCTGAGTATACCATCAGTGAATATTATTAGTAAAAACTTAAATATTTTGTCAGAGAATCTAAATGAAATAAGGTTGAGCCACGTGAGAAGTGTGAATCTGTTGTGCATGTACGCAGTTTTGGAACTAAAAGAAACTTGAAAGCAATCAGAAATCCCTAAATGTTAAGTGTTACCTGTGTTTAATAATGCCCAATGTACTAGATCCAAATACATGAACTAGGACCGCCTGTAGCAAAGCCAGTGTTAACAGCCATTCAGTGTGTTGCAAAATGACTTAAATAGCGGATAACATGGTGATCTGGTGAGTGCACGAGCCATCCCAGTTAAAGGTAAGACTTTAATTAGCAAGAATAGCGTTTCGGGTTGTGGTCTACAATCGGTGGTTACAACAAGCTGAGAAACTGATTATTATTCGGGTTGAAAATATTGGCTGAATACAGATTGCTTGTTTCATTTCAAACAATGAGATTCCTATTTTTTGGATGTTTGTGATTTCTCTCTTCACTGCAAACCATAATTCAACACCCTCTCTCTTGATCGGACTATGGTTTCGTCTGGTCTTGAGGCGTGCGCAGTTCCATTTTGCAACATCACTCCTTAACATACGTGAGACAACTGCACCAGTACTGTAATTGGCTGCCTCAAATGCAACGATAATTTCCAAATTAGGCTCACGGTGTATTAGCAGTGAATTGGAAGTTAATATTTCAATTGATTAAAAATGCCTAATAAAATTTTCAAAAGAATAGACACAGAATAAAGAGTACTCTTTCCGATAAATTCATCATCAGGCTCTACAATTATATATAATGAATGAATTAGTCTTATGAACGACATTAATGTTTAAATAACATCAAATCAATAATATTGATAAATTACAGCTGAACAGCATCAACATAAAATAAACTGAATGTCAGAAGAATTAGGAAAGGTAATAGTACAAATTCATGAGTTTATAGTCTCTGCTGAGGGCCAGGGCAGCAGTAGGGGCTGGACTTGTTTCTTTTAGACACAGAGCGCTGGTTGTTTGAGGCGAATTGCAATAGCCTCTGCTGTTTGGAGCAATATTTCCTTGGCATTCTAATATGCATGATAACGCACACTCGACCAATCCCATTCGTCGCCTTTTTCCAAAAGTCTATCCAATGGTTTTCCAAAACCACGCATTTCTGGGACAAAAGAACTGTAGAAACAGAATAACCCCAAAAAGGAATGCGGCGTATTTGTGTTGTGAGTAGTAGACATCTTTTGAATGGGTACATTATTTTGAGTGATTAATTTTTATGATTTTGACATCATTTTTTTGCAAGTAATACCAGATGTGAATTCAACTGAATGCAGATTAATATTGGTCATTGACAAGCAGATTTGTTTTACTGCACTCAAGTCAGCCAGAGCCCACCATTTGTCACAGCATGGTTGCTCCGTACGAGTAAGTTGATAAACGCGTAGAAAGCTATATAAAAACCATTTTATATCGTTGACAGTGCTTGTATAAGATGCTGTACAGCGTCTTGTTATGGTGACAGTGGATTTCATCAAGAATCCTGAGCCATTACTAGCCAAACCTTGAGGGATGATATATGAGTAAGTGGCTTTAATTGTTTCTCAGCTTCAGTCGGAATGTAGATCAATGCAACTTGTACTACAAAGTAAATACAACAGAAATGTACCAGAGGACAAAGAAAAACCAGGTGGAGTCTAAAAGATTTGATTATATTCGTTGTACATTGTAATTTGATGAACAAAAATTTGTTTCTACTATGTCTTTTTATGCATTTATGCTACTAGTTTATTTATAGTCTTTAGGGAAGTAAGGGTATTTAAGCGCGTTTAGGTACTGTAGTAGACTAATAGTTGATTCGTTCTAGGGATAAATAGTTTATTTATATAGTCGGTAGAGTGAAATAGTGTGTACAGAGAGCGTTTGAAACTTAAAACTGTATTGCACTTCCTGATATCTAGGGGCAGATTGTTCCATATTTTAGAATACATGACTGTGAAGAAGTTTTCGCGGAGTGTTGACTTAAAGGCTTTTATTGTCACTGTGCAATTTTGGTTACGCAGATCGTAAGAGCCTTCTTGCGCGAATTGTATGTCCTTAATGTCTGAGAATGATATTTTGTGTAGGACCTTATAGAAGAATACTAGGTTTATAATTAGTCGTCTTGTCCAGAGTGGGTCAAGTTGTAGAATGATGCACCGTGAGATGTAGTCTTTCTTACATTCGTAGCCTAGTAGTTTCGAGGTAAAATATCGTTGGATACTTTCAATTCTTAGCT